GAAGCAAAACCTGTATCTTCATAAGCCCTGACACCTCTTCTGCACCAGCTCAGTAGTGATGTGTCTCTTTTTATTTTATTTTCATTTTAATGTCAAAGCGCTTATGCATTTAATGCATTTCTTACAGCGCTACTTGAGGTATATAAATACTATCGGGCAATAAAACCAAAGAACAAGAAATAGAGATCTTCATAGACTCAGTCTAGCACCCCTTCACTAGAACAACTCCACACTCCTCGTGGCTTCTGGATCTTGACCAGGGCTGCGGGTCAGTTTACAATGCCGGGACAGGGGATGGTTCCGGCTTTGTACAGTTCTGATGAATATTCATTCCTACACTACTGGCTTTTCTTGTGCATGTGTTGATAACATTCTTTCTTGGCATCTCTCCTTTGCAAAGATTTTGCCAGTAGGCTCTGGTGTCTTATTTTTGTTTTGTTTCAAGTTCGATGCCCCCACACGGCACCAATTTCAACACCTTTGAACTCAACCTCTTTCTGTTCTCAGCAGCACAAAGTTGTCCTGCAGCAAACAAAATTTCAGAGATGGCTAAAGACCCATCACAAGGGAAAAATCCCCCAAACTGGGAAAATGCAATGAAAGGTCACATGTCAGCACACAGAGTTAATCTCAAATTCCAGAGCTTCATGTTATTGTCAAACTAGGGACTGCTTTTTTCTTCTGAGGAGCAAAGATTTCCTGCCAAATTTCACATGCGATTTTGAAGAAAAAAAAATCTGTTTTTTCCTTAGTATTCCACAAGAAGTCAATGCTGAAGGGATTTAGCACATTAATCCAGCCTGGAAAAAGGATCAAGTTTGTTGTTACTGTTGCATACTATTGTCACATATAGAAACAAAGTCTTCTAAATCCTAATTGAAAACATCCCATGTGCTCAATGGGGTCTCCTGGAAAGGACACGGCCCTGTAAAACCACACATAGTAGAGTTATTTCCTGTGTGCTACAAAACAGAATTTTGGTTGTTCTTACCCAAATCCTATTTGGAACAGTGAGGACAGACAAATGCAGTATTTGCTAAGTTGTTAGTAGCCCTAGTATTTTTGATTTAAAGAAAAATACATCCTTTTTTAAAATTATTATTATTTTCTAACCCATGCAGTAGAGGCAGACATTAAGTGGACTTCAAATTACAGAATGGCTGAGGTGGGGAGGGACGTCTGGAGGTCATCTGGTCGAACCCTCCTGCTCAAGCAGGGCCACCTAGAGCCAGTTGCCCAGGACCATGTCCAGACAGCTTTTGAATATCTCCAAGGATGGAGAACCCAAAAACTCTCTGGGCAACCTCTGCCAGTGCCCACTCACTCTCATAGTGAAAAAGTGTTTCCTGATGTTCAGAGGGAACGTCCTGTGTTTCAGTTTGTGCACACTGGAAAGAGCCTGGCTCTGTCCTCTTCACACGCTCCCTTCGGGTATTTATACACATTGATGAGATCCCCTCTGAGCCTGCTCTCATCCAGGCTGAACAGTCAGTCTCAGCACTCTCAGCCTTTCCTCATAGGAGATATGCTCCAGTACCTTCATCATCTTAGTCGACCTTTGCTGGACTTTAGCTGGTAGCTGCAAGCTGGTAGCTTCATCTCTCTCTCATACTGGAGAGCCCAGAACTAGACACAATTGGGAAAAAAGTTGCATACTCTTCTCTAACAGCGATTTCCTCAGCAGGCATAAAGCAAACTTTTTTCTGCCTATAACTTTTTTGGACCATGCACAATCCTTTCTGTGTGTCCAGCCATCCACCTTCTTCTCAGCAACCAACCCCATGCAGAGGGAAGACATCCCTCCTTTTCCCAGTACTGGAGATGCTCGTGCCACCCTCTCAGGCGAAGCACAGCTATCACTGTTGATGTGCTAAAAGTCAATGTGCTGAGGTGGTGCCCTCAAGTTCAAGAGGATGAGGTGGGGAGGTTACTCGGGCTTCATTGTAAAGAGCAGCTGTAGACAAGAGTGCTAAGAGTTGAACACACTAATGTCATGATTTCGGATTATTCTCTGTTACACTGGCTGACTTTTAGCCCTATGCACTACCCTTTTTCAGCTATGACTAACCATGGTGTTAGTCTCCCATAGATGGAAGGATCATCAGTGCTATCATTGCAAGCAGTTGCCCGCATACCTTGCCCTTTACATAAGTGTTTTCAGGTTAAAAAGACTGAAGTTTGGGGTTCAGGTTGATCTTCCTTAAGCCACCTGGACCACAAATGACTCAAGTCAGCTGCTCAGACACCGTGGATGCAACCAGTGCCTGCCCCATCAGCTGCTTAATCACAGAAACACAGAATCTTCAGGGTTGGAAGGGACCTCTAGAGACCATCTAGTCCAACTCCCCTGCTAAAGCAGGATTGCCCAGAGCACATTACTTAGGACTGCATCCAGGCGGGTTTTGAAAATCTCCAGAGAAGGGGACTCCACAACCTCCCTGGGCAGCCTGTGCCAGTGCTCTGTCACCCGAACTGTAAAGAAGTTTTTCCGTGTATCTGAATGGAACTTCTTATGTGCCAACTTGTGCCCGTTGCCCCTTGTCCACTGAAAAGAATCTGGATCCATCCTTCTTCAACCCACCCTTTAGATACTTGTATGCCATAATAAGGTCTCCCCTCAGCCTTCTCTTCTCCAGGCTAAAGAGTCCCAGCTCTCTCAGCCTTTCCTCATAAGGGAGATGCTCCAATCCCTCAATCATCTTAGTTGCCCTTCGCTGGACTCTCTCCAGCAGTTCCCTGTCCCTCTTGAACTGGGGAGCCCAAAACTGGACACAGTATTCCAGTTGTGGCCTCACCAGTGCCGAGTAGAGGGGGAGAATGACCTCCCTCGACCTACTGGTCACACTCTTCCCTATGCAGCCCAGCATTCCATTGGCCTTTTTGGCAACAAGGCTTAAGCACTACAGATATTGTTCATTTTAAAACCAAGAGCGGCAGGTAGATGCTCTGAAGAACACTGTTTCTTCCTCCAAGGAAACACCAGCTAAATGAGAAAAATTTTTCTAAAGGAAAGAGCGGAGGAAGGCCAGCGTTGTTTGTACTCCCCTTGGCACAGCAGGAGCTATCACTAAAAGCCTGCTGCTGCACTTCAGCAGTCCTGGGGAAAAAGGGACTTTGCTTCGTTTGAGTGTGTGGGGGGTGCTGCATAGTTTACATCTGTACCAAAAGACAACCTGCCCCCCCTCCCCAATAATGCAATTCATGAAAACAGCTCAGATTTGTTATGCAGCAGCTAAAATGGAAAGAAAAGAAACAGGCAACAGGGATCCCTTTTTGTGTGGAACTAGAAGACAGAAGAAATCGAGACTATTACCCTAACACAGCAGAACAGGAAGGCAGGCATTTCAACTCACCTAACGTCTAATCCTTCTTATTTCATTTGGAAGGTAAAGGAATTATTGTTTGAATTGGAGATGCCTATTTTCCCCCCATATCACTACATTACAGCTCATAAGGTCATTGCGAAGGGACACGCTTCCCCTTCTCTGCCAGCTTCACTTTCAGCTTATATCACTTTCTAAGCTAAGACCAGTCTGCCCCGAGACTGCAAGATAAGGGGATGTTCAGGTTAAACTCAGATGACCCTGCAGGTAGTTTAGTCAGAAAGAACAGCAAGGGAAATTCTGCAAAATGGATTTGTATACCCAACATCCACCCATATGCAACAATGAACCCACAACTGCTTGGAAGAGAAGGAGGGGTGGCCAAGAGTTTACTGCAGAGCAGTCCAAACACACCTCGGTCCCAAATTTAGTCTCCTTTGGAGTAAATTCCTCACCTTTGTTTGAACGTTATACATTCAGAAGGACTAGGCGTTGACCATGGGGCAGATCCTCAACTTGCTGACTCCACTGCTCCATCAATGTAAGCACAATTCACGCTGGAGTCCTGGGCTTGTTGCAACCTCTATGTCTCCTCAGGAACAGAGTGCTGAACAGTGATTTAAGTTCATTTGGGTTCTCCCATATTTCTGCCACCGTGAGATGCCCTCTGCATAGCGAAGCAGTGGTCTTTGGTCTTTGGCCAAAAGCCCCTGAGCCCAAGGTAATGTGGAACAGCGTAGACCAGCAAAGTTTCATACATCTTCTCCAGCTGGAATGAAATATTGGCAGGCGACTTGCTCATCTTGCAGAGCTTCGACAGCCAAGAACGCTTCAGTCATCATAAAACATGCACAAGGTGTAATGAAAAGGCTTCCAAGAGGAAACAAGCAGTTAGCTTCCAGGAGAGAAAGTGGGAGGACTTAGAAAACAATTAACATTCAAGCTGGAAAAAGAATCTTTTTAGTGCTGTGTGAATTATGTTTGAAAATATGCTTTAAAATATGCTGCCTATGAGGGGAACCAACAACAGGCTGCATGACCAGGAAAGCCAAGGTGGCATCATTTCAGAGAACATGACTGCAAAATGCTTAAGCACAGTTTACAGGATGTTTGAAAAGAGAATTTTCCCTAAAAATATGTAGCAGTCCTGCAACACACATGTGAAAGTCCACTCACCCTTCACTGTGGAAGCTCACTGGGCTAGAATTAATGCCATGGATTATGTTAACCTTTTTGTTTCCTCAAAAGTGAATTACTGCCATGCAAATGAAGGAGAAGCTTTACTGTCGTTTGGTGTTATCACTCAAGCAAAACCACAAAGCTTCTCTAGGTAGCCATGTGCTCTATAGTGGCAAACATCATTGCCTCCCCACTGTAGAGGGGAAAAGTAAAGTCCAAAATGAAGCAAGAATGAGCACCACTGATGTGCTGTGTCACAGCAGCTCCAGACCACGAGGCGTCCCTAAATAAGAGATCCAGAAAAGCCCAAGGTCTGGTCTGCAGTACTATTCTCTACACCAGCTCCTTCGAATCACATCAGCAATAGTGTGCAAAAAGCAAAATGGATTAAAGGAACAGAGTTGACCCTTCAGAGAAGATCCCTTTGGAAAAAAGGGCTTTTCTGTTTATTGATCTTGACAACATCCTTCTAAAAAGGTCATTTTGGTCAATCCAGGTTTTGAAATACTTTTTATTTTTAAAAGAAACCATAAAATATGACAACAGGACAATGGGCATCATTCAGCACTATCAGTTTCTGGTCTATAGAGGAAATTAATAAAAACCATTAGCATTTGAAAAAATAAATATGACTACCCATATGCATAACAGGAAAATCAAATTCATCTTCAACAACACAGACAGGTATAAATGCTGAAATGTTGCTGCGCAAGGTAGAGGTAGAGGTAAACCAGACTTTTCAGACCTAGACCAGTTTTAGATCTGCGCCCCCGCCCCAATCCCCCGCCCCATGCAAACACTTCCAAAAGTTCCTGTTTCCAATAATTTAATTTGAATCAGCCTGTCAGCCTCATCAAACTCAAACGGGTCTGTGTGCTCCTTGTAATGCTCCGAGCTGGAAAACTCTTTCAGTTTTTGTAGAAATTAGTTGCTAAGCAACCTGGCCCCCTGGTTTTGCGACTTGTGCAGCAAGGAAAGAGGCAGAAAGCTGGATTTTAGCTACTACAAACCAATAAAATGCTCTCCGGATGATGTCTGCTAGGACAAGTAGACGGTAGAGCCCTTTTAGGAATTTCAACAGTCCATCAGCTCCTCGGTGGTGCATCCAGAGAACACATGACGCCACGCCTGGAGTTCCTCCACTGAAGAGAGCATGGTCAGCCGAAACATCCCAAGTCAATAGGTACTCGCTGCGGGGAGAGCCAATTGCCTCATACAGTATGTTGATATCAAAAACTCACATGGTAAGACACAACCCAAGAACCCTCTGTACAAAGCAGCAAGTATCTTGACACAGTGAGATATAAAAACTAAAAATTGCACCACACATGGATTTTCCAACAAACTCAAGACAACCGAAGTCAGATCGTACAAACCATTAGTTAAAAAAATACCTTCTTGTATATTTTGAGAATAAGTGGAAAGAGTCTTCGTGCAAATGTTCAGCCTTGATCAAGCAGAGGACGTAAAATCGTTGTAAACGCATTAGTTCCTTTCTCAACCGCCTGATGCGCCCAGCGTTATTTATCTTCTGCAGTATAATTAGGGTTAGGAAATCTGTTTCTTCTGTAAATATCACCTTTCAAGTTCCACTGATGTACCATCAAGACACTACTGGTGTCATATCCCACAACTGTTAATATAATAAAATATAATAACTTAGTAAGTAATGGTAAAAGATAATAAAACATAGTACATAATGTCATCTCTAAATAATTTGCACCTTGTTTTTTGCTTAAGAGAGGCTACATAGTTAGAGGTGGATGCAGCAACTCTGAAGAAGTTTGATTTCATTTTCTGGCACTCATGTCAGACTGGTGGAAACTGACTAAATGACACTCTGTATGTCACTATGCTTTACCCTTATGAGCCAGATTCATAGCTGGCCTTAAGAGAAACCAAAAAACCCACACTATATTGCTAACTCGAATTATTAGAATAGTCATAACACATTGTGAGGGTGGGTTTTTTTAATTATTCAAGCTTTGTTATAAACTTATTCCTTATTTTAGCTATTTCTTTACCTAGCCAAACTGAGATTCGCCATGGTCAAAATATAATTTGTCTTCCCAAAGGAAAAGCTACAGTGAGCGCTTGTCCCAGCCCCTTCAAGCAATAACTTCATAGACCAAGACCTCCTTGGTCCTTATTGGGCACAAGTCCACCAGTGAGAGGTCTCTGGGTGGAAGAAATCAGGTAGGGCATACCTGCAACCACATGGGAGAGGAAGGGGAAATGACATACAGGAGCTACAGCAATCTCCTCACTCCTACCTTAATAACCTTGTCTGTCCCCGAGGTCAACAGCCATCCCCTGGTGGCATCAAAGTGTACGTGAACGATGTTGTGCTTACTGTCATGGAAAGTAGCTGTGGGTGCCCGCCTGAAAAAAAAGAAATCAAAAAATCAGCAGAGACTGCGACTGCAGGATTTTCCCCACACTGTTCTCTATCGAGGAAATAAGTATTTGAATGCTGCTGTAAGTCATTAATTCAGCAACCTCTCTGTAAACTCCACTTTGAGACCTCTCCTGCACGAGACGCAGGGGTGGAGGGCTCTCCATCCCTCATGGTTTGTTGGCACCTCAGAGGCTTATCTTCCTGAAAGAGCCCAGGGACCACCCTTCCAGGCTGCTCCCTCCCAGATGCAGGAGTTTTGTCCCACACCAGTGCAAGCTGGCTCAATGTCCACACTTACTCTTCATCTGTTATGGACTCGTGACAGCTATCGCAGACCCTCACTTCGAACTCGAACCCCATCAGTGGGATGGAGGAGCGCTTGGAGCTGCATTTGCCGCACACGGCTTTTCCACACTTCCGGCAGTGATGCTGTAGGAGACAACACATGGAAAGACATCTTCAGCCACAAATCCAGATCACTGCTCAGGTCCCAGTAGTTCTACCATCTCACTACAGCAAGACCCAGCCAAGGCTGCAGCAAACAGGAAAGTGACTCTTCCAGGGAAGATGAAGGATAACAGGGAAGGACTTCAGAATATATGGGGAGGGAAACAAAAAAAATATAAATCTTACTGGACACTGGGAAGCGGCAGACAAAGCACTACCCAGGCTAGCTGGACTCTACCTGTATCCCAAGCTCCATGGTGACACCATACACCACCCAGTAAAATCATCGCTGCCTCCACCACTTGGCATCTGTCGTCGTAGCTGTGGGTTAGGGCTTCTTCACTGAGTGCAACCAGTGTTACAGGGGGATCTCAACAGGGTAGAAGGTGGAAGAAGGAAAATCCAAGCTGTCATCTTTTCATTAGCACAGCTAGAGATGGGAGGAGAGGACCAGGAGGCCCCTATGCACCCATGAGATGTGTCCCAGCCAGCTGGGCATTGGCCACAGGGCTGGGAGCTGTAATTACCCCTATCCCTGGGAGTCACACTTTGGGGGCGTAGGGGATGACACCACCACTCAGCAGCATGTGACACATTAAAACCTCTCCAGGTTGACACAGAATAGGGCTACATTAGCAAAGTGTCATTCTGGAGTCCCATCCCACTCTCTAAGTATAAACATCTACCATCTAATCATCTCGGTCAACTCCTTTGGCCATTTTCAGCCCCAGAAGCACTAGCGCTTCTGCATTTTGATGCTCCCTGCCTCATGTTTTCTCATGCACTGGCTGTGTAGGACCACAGGGTTGCCTCACCGGCTGCAGAAGAGCCAGGCTCTGCGGTGATGAGAGTTACATAAAGAGAAGAAAGATGCAGCTCAGCTCTGCCCCAGACACCTGACTTCTCCAAGCTCCACGAGAACATCCCTTTCAGCATTTTTAAGCCCCGCTCCCAGGAGTCTGCTATCCACAGCCCTCTCCTGCTGGGCAGGAAAACACAGCCGTATGTTCCAAGCAGACCAATAAGCCTTTTCCAACACAGCCTGAGCAGTTACAGATGTTTACCCAAGCCCATTGAAAACAACTGTGGTTCCAGCACAATCTCCAAAAATCAGCTGCAAATTTCTTTCTATAACACATTCAACTAACAATAAGCAAAATCCCACATGGCTAAAGCCATGGAAGGCCCCAAACCAATTTACTCAGCTCAAGGCCTATTACATGCATTTCCTATTGAGACTGGCTAGGGGAAGAAAAAAAAAAAAAAAGGAAAAAAAAAAACAGAAGAAAAAGGAAGTGTGTTCCGACCACAAAATCAAGCCTCTCCCTCAGAGGGGAGCCCACTGTCCCATTATCGAGCTCTCCATGGAAGAGCAAAGAGTGAGTTCTGAAGGCTTTAGGGAAAAAAAGGTTACCATGAGCTATTATGAGAGAAAAAGCCAAATTGTACAATGTCAACACACCAAAGGACCCATACAAACCTGCCTGAGGCCTATTTTCTTACTGTCCCACATTTGCTTGAAGTTCCAGAAGAAAGGCTGGTCACATTTTTGACAGGAGTCACTATCGAGCCACTCGGGGGTCTGCAACACACACACACACACACACAGACACAAAGTGAGAGTGAACAACAAATGGAAAGGCTTCCAATGGAGCCCAAACACAGGACATGAAAGATGTATTGGGGTGCGGCAATGCGATCACCTAAACTTAATTTAAAAAAACCCATTTTCACAAGATGCCATTGTGACTGTTCCATGGGATGTCTTTTTTGGCTCATCTCTGAGTCTTGAAGGACACGGGATGAACACTTCTCACCCAAATCATGAAGTAGAATTCAATTATAAGATGATAAAAATAATCCAGCAACAAACAAGCCTCCCCCACCTCTCCAAGTTTGGAATTAAGCATATAAAAATACTCTGTCCTGTCCTGTCTGGACAGCATTTACCATCTGCTATTGCCTCTTGTGGAAACTGGGGGCAATTAGTATTTCCCATAGCCAAGCTACTCATCTGGAGGTAAGGGAGAGGTATCTGAAATGCTGGTGGTATTATTATTATTATTATTATTATTATTATTTGTTTCTTTTAATACTGTAAGAGGTGTTCCTGCTGTCAGAAGTGCCTGTACTACAAATCACACATAGGGGTGAGAGAGATGAGATTCACTCGAACAAGCCTAAAACCCAAACGAGCTCTTTTCCCTGCTTTTACACAAAGATGATGGAAGGAATGTCTTCCATTTCCTAACATGGCATGTAGCTTTGCACTCATGCTGTGGATGAAGCAGGTAAGAAGATTTAAAGAAAATATTAAAGGCATTTCTCTCTCCTGCAGCTAGGTTTTGCTGTGCAGAGTAGCATGGACCACACACCCTGTAGGGAAGCAAGTCTTGCCAGATCCTGAATAAGCTCAAGAAACACCTGAAGTGGCAGAGGAGCCATGTGGAGGGGGCACTCAGTCTCCTTCCTTACATTTGGGTCCCCCAACACTTGTCCTGCATTGAGCTGCTGGGGGATACACAGTGCATCTCCCCACAGTGTTTAGCAAACCCTCCCTGGCATGTGAGACTCGGGAAGAATCTTGGTTCTTGACCCCTCTCCAGCTGGGTGTCAGTCTGTCTGTCCTAACCTGGCCTAGCAAGAGTGACACTCCTCCCCAGCAGATGACTTCTGCTCCTTTCTCAGCCCCACCAGGACAAGAGCTCAGCCCAAAGTCGGCATTGGCAAGCAGGTCCATCCTGTCCCCACAGCGGGGCAGGCCCAGCAAGATAGGGCCAGCACTGCCAGCACTGCCTTGGCACCACTGCAACATGCTCCCACCAACCCCACGAGATTAAATAAACATTATTTAATGTTTAATACTTTCTTACAAAGTGCTATTAGCAAACTGCAGTTGGCTTAACAGAGCCACCAGCTTCTCACATGCTGCCATTTAAAATGGCAAGAAACACAGCTGAGATTACGAATTAAAAGTAACACAAAAGTCAGGTGGAGATAAGGTAAGGCTGAAGGAGACCCTCAGCTCCCAGGATAGCTTTGACCCCCAGCAATGAAGCAACCGCCTGCTTCAGCTTCTTCTGCCAGTCACTTTGAAGGCAGTTCATCCTGCTGGGGCAAATCCCTGTCTTTTCTACCCACAACGGACTTTTCGTTTAATGCGTATGGATTTACATCTGCATGTATAAAAGTTTTCATCTCTTAAACATCTGAACACTGTACATGAAGAAGACATTTTGCTTGTGACAAGTAACTGCTTTGTAGTCAAATAGAAACACAGCTTCTAGCAGCTTTCAGATGTTCTCCTTTTCCAGCTTCTTAAAACTAAAGATTAAAATAAGGAATCAAGGGCTAAAATGGCTTAATTCACTGTAATGCAATCTCAGAGATGTGGGAAAATCTGACAGCATCAAAGTGAGTACTGAGCACACATCACACAGAGAAACCCATTAAGTAAGGGCAAAAATCCCAAAGTCAAAATCCAGAAGATAATGGCCTAGAACCCCGAACCAAGGTTTGGTATTAACATCTCAAGGGTTCATGTTTTGGAGGTGGTGTAGCACCACGAATACCCTATTGCGCTACTGATAACAGGAACAAACCCACATAGCCATAGTCAGAGAAAGCAGTGCACGCGTTAGCACCTGCTGCTAAGCCCTCATTTAGCTAATTATATATCTCCTCCACTTTTTAAACTAGCCTTCTCACAGCATCGCCGCCCATTTTGCGACAAGCCAGCCTTAACCCTTACTGTAGCCTTTCAAAGACAGCAAATAAAGGTTTTCATTTCTAGATGTTCGAGTTGCAGCAAAAAGGAAACATCTGTTGGGAAGGAGGAAACCGCTCTGCTTTCGTTTCACTTTTGGAACTGATGACATAATTGGCCATTAGATTAGCAATTAAAGAGAGCCAACTGGAATGCTAATTCACATAAAAAAGGGAGCTCAGTTCCTGCCTAGGCCTATTTCAGTATTTTTTTTAAATCCAATTTTCCACTTAGCTTTCCTCCTTGCTCCATGGAGACACACACGACCAGGGGAGGCCGAAACCCTTGAGAACCAGCAAAGCGGGTGAAAGCCCATGCTGCCACAGGCCTTGCGCAGACCTACCCACTGCGGGGACTCGGCGTACCTTCCTACCCCCTGCAGGAACAGGGCAGAGGTTTGCCGTGACTCATGCTACCAGGATTTGCCACGCTGCCGAGCGGGGCTGACGCCTGACTCACTCAGCACAGCGCTTGCTCCCCCTCTCTGAGTCAGGTCTCAGAAATTGCCGAGCGGAGGCTGCTCCCACAGCGCCGAAGACCCGGGGTGCGTTTTTGCACCCGCTTACATTCGTTGGCCACGCAGCACAAAAGCAATTAGGAGCGCGTGGGTGAAATCTTACTGTCTGGATTGGAAAAGTCATCGTTTACTCCGCTTCTACATGGTTACACCAGAGGGAAGCAAGACCCAGTAGTGGGTGAGATTGAAGCCCTAGTTAAATGTCTTTTTAGTAAGAACAGGAAAAGAAAATGGGGTTGCAGGCTTCGAGACATGACAAAGAGCTTTCTTGTTTTGTTTCCTTAAAACCACCTAATAATTATCAATCCATCCATTTACCTCTGAACTGATAATATTTCTCATGTTGTCCCGAAAAACAAAGCGGAACATCTCACAATACCCTCCTTAGAGGATGTCTTTCGGAGCAGTAATGTAAAGGGTAAGAGCCATTTAGCAGCCTACTTAATAAGCATTTTCTGCCAGACAATTTCCCCTGTACCATATTATCAAAGGCACGGCATAATTGCTGTATAACAACTGGAGCATGTCCAAAAACATTTTTAAAGCCTGGAATGATCTTGTTCAGGTTGAAAGTTGCACATTTCAGAAAGGCCCCTTCTTCCCAAGACTGTTTCAGATCAAATCAACAAGAACCAAGTATCTACCTCCTGCCTCTCAACATCCATGTTCCAGACGACAATTCCCCCATCTGCACCACAGGAGATGAGCTGCCGAGTGTGGTGAGCATAGGAGAGAGACTGAACTTTATCACTGAAAAAGAAACGAGACAGTTACGAATCAACCATCTATGGCTGCACACAAATAAGTGCAGAATATACAATAAAGCAGTATAAACTGTTTGTTTGCCCATATGTTTCCCTCCCCCTCTCACTGTACGTGGCATCCACCAGACACAAATCAGTCTTTGATATCCAGCTGGGACCAGAACCAGAGTGTTGCTTATCTGGGCAGCATCCACAAAGGCAAAGACCTGTTCTGATAACTGCTTTTGCTGCTCCTGAGATGGGAGGTCTCAGCTGCACTGGGAAACCTGAACAGAGCTGCAGTGCTGGACCTCTCCGAAGGCACATCTGGATGCATAAACACAGCCTTGGTATGGTCTTGTCAAAAAGTCAGTAACAACTTTGTTTTCATAAATCTCTGCAACATCTAGGAATGAAGCACTGAGGAACAACTGAAGATTTTCTTTTAGCACTAACAAGCATAGAGAGTTTCAAAAATAATATAGGAATCACTAAATTGTTCCTAAGCGTTCCTAAGGTAAGGTGGAAGATTTAAGTGCTTTTGCTTCTTCTTTTAAGGTAAAAGCAACATGGGAGAAATAATGCAATTTAAACCCCCAAAGCTGTGTACATTCCTTCATAAAAGAAAGAAAACCAGGCCTCACCTCAAGCTATTTACAACCTGGGAAACAAAGCCCATACAACACTGTTACAGAAAAAAACCCAAGATTAAGAATAATCAGTAACTGAGCATAGAATGACTGAAGCTATTGATTTTCTTTGCTACCATCACTGGTCTCATCTACTCAAAGGACTTCAATGCTAACGCATTTGCTTGTGCATACGGCTGCTGCTCCAGAGGAATGCACTTACGGGACAGCTTAGTACAACACTGCCTGCCTTCACAGTGTCCACCTGCTGACGCCGGTGGCACCAAGAGGTCCCTGTTGTCCTTAGGACCAGGTTTCCATGCTGTACAGCGCCAGCCAACAGCCATGCCACAGATCTAGTTGAAGATGTCCCTGCTCATTAAAGGTCATCTAGTCCAATCCCTCTGCAAAGGTCCCTTCCAACCAAACCATGATTCTATGATTAAGATCCAGAGGCTAACTTTGTATTAGGATAACTAATTTCCAAAGCAATAAATCTAGCAGCAGTCCATTAACAAGCACCACTGGTAGGGTATGAGGGTGATCTGGGAATTTCAACAAGAGCTCTGCAATGCTCTGAAATCCCAGTGGCATCCAGAGTGCAGCATCACTCAAAAGAAACGTATGAATATGTAAGAAACTGTTAGACCAAAACCACCATGGGATTTTGCCTCTCCAGATCTGAGCCTGGCACACAAGTCCCAAGTGTATGCATTCCCAATACAATGAAACAAACTTGCTGCACTGCCAGTGTTAAAAGGTTAGGAGATCTTTGCAGCTAGAGCCATTCTGATCTCTGCTCAACACCCAGCACAGGCTTACTCTTCTTCAAAGACATCTACTATGCTGCAGATGTGAGGTCTGTAGGTGCAAAGATGAAGCCTCTTTGCATTGAGGAGACGGTGAAGGCTCCTATAGATAAAGTGTATTACTTAGAATTCAGGCTGCAGGTAAAGTGGCATGAAAAAAGTTAGCGTGAAGGAAAAAGGGACTAATTGTCCGAGCCTGATGCTCCCTCTAGGGGAAGCAAAGACCTTGACACCTAAAAAGCAAGAATTTCCCTGCAGCTGTTCTCCTTTGAGGACCCTCCTATTTCCAACAAAGGTGCAGGCTCTGGCATAACACATTCAGGACTAAAAATGTTGTGCTTTCCTTCGCCACCCTTTGCAGACTCTCAAACCAGTCTATAGTCGTGGGCCCAACACTGAAAAACTTACTATAAGCAACTTATTGCAGTTGTATATGGACCACAGTGAGTCACACATACAACCTTGAGGCATGTGAAGATTGTAACCTTTGGGCTGTTTGTTTCCAGATGTGGCTTCTGCCTTTAGCTTTTCTCCCATGAAGGCAGGAAGAAGGGAACGTACTTATGTCCTTGCAGCTCGATGGCTGTTCCTTTTCTTCCTCCAATGTCCCACATTATAATGGAATGATCAGAACTGCCCGAGAACAAAACTCGCTGTATAGGGTCCCAACAGAGAGCAGTGACACCACCTGAAATAGAAGGTGCACACAACCGTCATTTCATTGCAGAAAGTGGAAGACAGGAATGTAGCTACATGTATATAGAGATATAGCAAAGAATATGGAGAGAGTGATTAAAATGCAGGTGTGGCAAAGGCCACGCAGTCACTGTGCTTGCCAGTTGAAAACTAACAGCCTAGAAAACCGATTGAAGCCCCATCCTGCTTTTCTGCAGGCAGAGGGCTCCACTGCCACTCACGTGGATGAATCCATTGAGCAGTAAAGCATGGCAGAAGCACAGTCACAGTGTGACTACACAGCTTCTCAGCTCTATCATTCCAGGAGATAGATTTTATTCCAAAAGAGAAGCAAATGTGGAATATTATGAGCATCTTCACAGTACCCTAGCACAAGGATTGGACTACCTTGTGCTACCTTGTGATTGACCTATTAGCATTCCATCAGAGAGGAGGGATATAGAGAGAAAATGCTGAGGAATGACCTCCATTTCTTCTGTTAGATGGCAGGATCACATCCAAAGACGCTGGTTTTAGTGCGATAGGGCACAAGTCCCAGCAGTGAAATAAGCAGTTAGTGCCTCCAAGATGTGCCTATTCCACTTGGGCGAAAGAAACCACCACTATGGGTCTTTCCTTGAGGAACACCCTTTCCCCCTCAGAGTTACCACAACTTGTTCTACTCTCACTCTGCTTTAATTAGCAGCTACTGATTGTGGCGTTTTCTGCCATAGAAGTTTTCTGATCAGAAGTCTGATCGCTCTCGTTTCTACCAATCAAGAATAAATTTCCCTGAGCTGTAGAGACAGTTTAAGGTCTATGTCCAAATAGGACATCAGCTTTTAGATGTCTTTTATTCTTAGTGTTTCTCTCACATCAAGTATATGATAGAAGATCTTCCCATAAGATCCTTCAGATTAACATCAGTGTCATACATATGGAACAATCTACAGTGACTGAACGGGTGTAGCTACACCCCCTCCTTTCTTTGTTGTTTTTTATTCAGCTGCTATTTATTTACATTATAAATACTTTCAAATTGTGGTCATCTTTAGTCTATATGCGTATATAGCCTCTCCAATTGGGCTTAGAGTTAATAACTAATAATAATTTTTTTGATAATAAAAACCTGATGATCTATAAAAAGTGCAACTATTGGATACTGCATTACCATAGTAATGAGGGAAATAAGACCCCTAGAGTTTGGTCCTGTACATACTAGGAATCATGAAATGTCAAATACAAGTTCGTCACTGTCCCATAATAACCAACTTGAAATTTAACAACAACTTCTGTCTTCCCATGGTATGCACTGACACAAGCCATCCTAGTGTTTCACAGGAGAGTCAAACCACCATGATGCTGAGTACAGATGAAGAACCAAATTGAGTCTCCTCCTGAGGCCTTACCTGTGTGTCCCTTAAATGTCGTAACAAGACTGCAGGACTCTTGCTCTAGTTTGAGTATGGTCACTTGCCCAGAATGATCACCAACAAACACGTGCCGGGTTTCCACATCAAATCTGACAGATAAATGCTGAGGAAAATACATTGCTTAAGCAAGCTTTGCATTCCTTTCATGACTTGTTAATTCTTTTAACTTGAGTATACTGCAACCTTGTGAATAGCACTTCAGTCTCAAGGAGGTTATTCAGAGTGTACTTTTAGGCATCAAGCTCATACCTGTTCATATTAATAGTGCAGTCTCCCTGAGTAAACCAAAGAGTGAGAAAAAAAAGAGACTATCCCAGAGTATGCAATTTGTGTCTTTATTATGAAACACCTTTTTAGTAGCCCTTTGCCATGAAGAGAGGAGTCATTTTCCCAGGCTCTCTAACTTAGGTGCTAGAGTTGGATGGTGTCCACCCTCCCTTCCCAAAATTGTATAAAATAACTATTACTAGTTTTCTGCTCCTTCATTATTGTTAAGTTTACAAATACAACAAAAGAGTATTGTTTTATGTTATATTTGGGGAAGTGTCAGCTACATTAGGTGCATCACACATATTCTAAACAGAATAAAATCTGGACCCATTCAGCCACCTACTAGAACCATCTATCTGGACAGATTCTGAACTTATCATCCAATTTAATTCCACATTCAAAGTCCATACTGGATATTTAAGGAACAACTGCTTAGCGCTGATTTTATGCACACAGGACACTGGGGAAAAAAACCCACATTCCTGGTTCTGCCAAGCTTTTTGCAGTATTTATCAATAATTATCCTTTTCCCTGATCTCCACCAGCATGCTCATAGAATCATAGAATAGTTTGGGTTGCAAGGGACCTTCATCTAGTCTGACCGCCCTGCAATGAGCAGGGACATCTTCAACTAGATCAGGTTGCTCAGCACCCTGTCAAACCTGACCTTGAATGTTTCCAGGAATGGGGCATCTACCATCTCTCTGGGCAACCTGTTGCAGTGTTTCACCACCCTCATTGTAAAAACTTTCTTCCTTACATCTAGTCTAAATCTTTCCTCTTTTAGTTTAAAGCCATTACCCCTCATCCTATTGCAACAAGCCCTGCTAAAAAGTTTGTCCCCATGTTTCATGTAAGCCCCCTTTAAGTACTGAAAGGCCACAATAAGGTCTCCCTGGAGCCTTCTTTTCTCCAGGCTGAATAACCTCAACTCTCATCCTGCCTTCACAAGAGAGGTGTTCCAGCCCTCTGATCATATCTGTGGCCCTTCTCTGTACCTGCTCCAACAGGTCCATGTGTTTCCTGTGCTGAGGACTCCAGAGCTGGACGCGGTACTCCAGGTGGAGTCTCACCAGAGCAGAGTAGAGGGGCAGAATCACCTCCACCAATCTGCTGGCCATGCTTCTTTTGATGCAGCCCAGGATACGGTTGGCTTTTCGCACTGTGAGTGCACATTGTCGGCTCGTGTCCAGCTTTTCATCCACCAGTACCCCCAACTCATTCTTGGCAGGGCTGCTCTCAATTCCTTCATCCCCCAGACTGTATTGATACTGGGGCTTGCCCCAGGCTAGGTGGCCTTGTGACCTCATTAGGTGGCCTTGTGACCTCATGAAGGCTCACAGGGGCCCACTTGTTGAGCTTGTCCAGGTCCCTCTGGATGGCATCCTGTCCCTCAGGCATGTCAACAACTTCATTTCATCTGCAAACTTGCTGAGGGTGCACTTAATCCTATGTCTATGTCACTGATGAATATATTGAGCAGCACTGGTCCCAATATGGACCCCTGAGGAACACCACTTGTCACCAGTCTCCATCTGGACATTGAGCCATTGACCATGACCTTCTGGATGTGACCATCCAACCAATTGCTCATGCACCAAACAGTCCACCCACCAAATCCGTATTTCACCAATTTAGAAAGAAGAATGTTGTGGAGACCATGTCAAAGGCCTTACAAAAGTCCAGCTAGACATAGCCTTTCCCTTGTCCACTGATGTAGTCACTCCATTATAGAAGGCCACTAGGCCATCATGATCTGATGACCCAAATTAAAATGTCCTTCAAAATTTTGAATCACTTGAAATGGTCCATTCTCTAGAGAGGTTTAGGAAATACAGGACAAATTCACACTTTCAAAAGTATTTATCATTCAATTAAAAATTAAGTTCAGTTTTTACACTGTTTAGATTGGCTGACTGACCAGATGATATAAAGCAAGTCCGTGTTCAGACAGTAATTTACAGTCAGTCTCACTTCCCATGAATTGGCAAAACACACATCATCTGTACCACATACACTACAGGGCACTAAAAAGTCCGTTTATGCTAACCCCTGGTTTCAGCCTAAGAGCTCATACCTTTCCACTTCCCTTTTCATTTACAATAAAGCTGAATTAATATTTCTTTTATTGTCAGGCAGCTGGGGCAGCTCTAGGTGAATAAGCCACTTGAGTGCCATTTCCGGAGCCATTTACTCCTTAGTTAACCCAAATTCCCAATACATACTGGGCTACTCCAGAGTGAAGGACAAGCACTCATTATTTTATATTAAAGTAATTTAATTTTTACCATGCATACACACAGGCATGCTGACCTGATCACTGACCTACTTTGCTACTGTTAATTCTTAGAAGAAAGCATGCACTGCATGTTTAAACGAAGGTCCTGTCTATATTTATTACAATAGCAGACGACAATAGGTTGCAGATCGCCCATTGTTTTGCTCAAAAATGCTTAGACCTAAATATGCCACCATGCATTAAGGAGACAAAGCAAGAAGGACAGACAGTTTTTAAAACTGGCTTTAAATAACGGTTTTTCTCACAAAGCACTGAACCTATACAGGGCAGGACATTTGGAGGACAATTAGAAAAATAAACTAAAGAGGCTGTTTAAGTGCCAAAGAGCAGAAATAAAGCTGAGAGCCAGGCAAAGGATACTGCAGGCCACAGGCGCCTGCGCTGGTGCGGTACCCTCCCAGCCGCTGGCCGCTCTCCGAACAGTGCCACGTGAAGTTTTTGTCTTGTCCGGTGCTTAATACCCACTCCATCTCCAGGACAAACAGAATCATCATGACCCTGCTTTGATGAGCTGAAAATTAAGCAGACAGACATATAATTGCATTGTGCAGAAGAACACGGGGGCAGAGCACCGCTGCACATGCCAACTTCACCGAATTCTTCCACTCCCTACTCACCCATTCACCCTTCCCCACAGAAGCAGCTGATGTTTAATAATCCCATTGACACGAGCTACCATGCAAGCTTTAAGGTCCCTGCTCTGCGTGTTCAGCGGAGAAAGAGTAGAAGCAACACTTAATTACTTCCATGCCTTTTGCAGCCATTTATCTTCTACAGTAGCGCAAGTTTTCCTTCCATCATTGTATCATCACCGACAAAGTTGCCATTGTGGAAGGCGCTCTGGGCTCTACTTAAACCTCTTTTGAGCTGGTTTTATGACAGCAGTGCAGATGCCTACGCTGCCACTCCTCCTGCTGCGAGGTCTGGTGGATCTGGCCTGCAGATTGTGGTACCCCAGGAGAATGATGAGTTACAGCACAGGCATAACCCTGCACCAAAGGGAAGTTTTAGCATTGCATGTAAACTAACTAAAAAGGAAATTAGGATGAAATAAATTACCCCCCCCCTCCAAAAAAAAATCACAGCTGGGCAAGATGAATAAAACAGCTGAAGGAATATATTTCTACTGCTACCTAAATAAAGCCATCAAAAGCTTTTCATTAAAGCAAGAGAACCCAGGCTTGTACAGAAAGTTTTTTGTATGAATGACCAGTGGGCTTGGTTGTGAAGTGCTGATTGAGCCGGCTTTTTAATAAAAAAAGTGGCTGGAAAGGCATGCAGAATTATTCCCAGCTGTAACTTAGCGGCGAATGCCATACTCCTCAACCTACAGCCCTACTGGTTTATTACTGTTCTGAGACCTAGCAACATATGTCGCACAAAGCAGGCTCCTTGTATTTGTTTGTATAAAAGCTGATACACTGGAAAGATTGAATATCTTTGGAAGCTTAATAAACAGCCCAAAACCTCTGTTTGAAATGCAGAGAAATTCCTTAGAACAGTATGGGAAGATTGCTGCCTGCCCTATACAAATACATAGCATAGATGAGAGCTGTGTTCAAAGCCTACTGGAGGGAACCAGTTGTAGCAAAGACCAGGAGGCTTGCACAAGCTAACATCTGCCCCTGATCCACACTGCTTTTTAGACCCAGATTCCCCGAGGAGAAAAGTCAATAGATGCATTGATGCAAGTTGCCGTAACTGTGATTGGCAGTTGGACTAGTTTACAGCATCAGACTTGAACTTGAACCAGATGCTTTCACCCTTGCCCATAGAAGAGCTCCGATTTTGGGTCTTGTTTCCATACACTTTTAAACTCTATGTTTGTAATCAGGATAGAAGGATGGGGACCACCCAGGAGTCACTTGAGCTCTTTTAAACAGATCCTCTCTACTCTCCGCCCTCCAGATTTCTTCTCTGGAAAGAAATTCAGTGACCCCATGGGTGACTAATGCTTGTCTTTGCTTATCTGTTGGTCTCCCTGGGAGCACCTGCCCTAGCTGGTGGAGTGGTGCACTGCAGAAAGGGCCACAATGGGATGCATTCTGCTACAAGCACCTGATGGGCTCACACACATGTCCCAGGGGCTCGTGTGCACCAGCAGTGCCATAGACAGACCCACGCACTTCCACAGGACGTGCAAAGCTAGCTGAGACCAGGCTGTTCATGGCCTGTCCAGGGATGTTGTCTCAGCACACGGTAACTGCTACTGTTAATATCAGCTTCCCATGGTTTGAACTAGCTGTGGGGATAGCTGGCACCATCCAACTCTCCTAAATATCCTCCTATCTCCTCCTAAAACTTCTTCTAAAAGTCAGTGCCTGTAACTTTTGCTAGAAGTACTGCCTGTGGATGGTGAGACAGCACTCTCCTGCGAGTAAGGAGTAGACATTAAAGAAACATGTACATGTCAAGAGGTGGAAGGGATGCACGTGATAGCTTTGCTTATTCTCCCTCCCCAAAAAGAGCTTTCAATTCAGCTCTTTGTTGCCCCCCTGCAAGTGCTGCATGCATTAGCTGGTGCCACCACACACATGCTGATGGCAGAAGCATCTGAACTAAGTGAAAGAGCGCAGTGGAGGTCATCTAAGTAAGCCAGGAAAGGGAGGACAAACGCAAGTAGAAAGTCACTTGTCATTTAAAGGGAATTTGACCCATGTAAGGGCTTAAAGTAGCAAAACATCAGAAGATTGGAAGTTGATAGTAGAGCCAGGAAGAGGTCTGGGCCCTAGGATTAACACAGGTTTAGGATTGTGAAACAGCAAACAAAAAGCTAGTCCTTCATCCACGGAAGGTTTGATCACCATTTGTGTGCAGAAAAAAGTGGAGCAAACACTTCCAAAGCTCCTCACTGCAACAACAGCAGGATGGAGAAGGGGACTGAAGGGTGAATGTGGTCACAGGAGAGAAAAAGCCACAGCAAGCAGCAGGTGAGAGCAGATCTCTGTAAGCCAGCGTGAGAAAAGAGCCCATGTGCAGGGGAAGATTACGTACAGCAGGTAGAGAAGCAGCAGACAGAAGAAGGGAGCAGGTCCACCTGTAGCAGGAGGGTGGGAGGGAGCAGGGGGGCTCCACTCCTGCTATGATTCTCATTATCAGGGAACATCAGGGAGCGCTGTGCAAAGAGCAAGTTGAAGAGAGGATGGGAGGGCTATGCCCACAGAAAAGCAGCTGCAGCCAGGAGGTGCACACTGAGATGTCAGCAGTCAGAGTGTAGGGGAAAGGAGGGTCCACGCTGTGTTTAAAGGTAAAGGTCTGAGAAGCACAGCCATGCACAGTGCAGGGCAAGAGGCTGTGCCAGTAGTTACAACAGTTCAACAAAACAGTTACAAAACCTGCAAACACCAAACAGCTGCAAACACCAAAAGAGAGGTAGAAGTTAGTAGTAAGAAAGAAAAGCTTAACGTGTGTAAGAAAAGCACAAGAGAAGAGGCTGTGCATAGGAGAAAGCAGAAGTAAGGGCACAGTGTGAGCTGGCTGAAAGCAAGGAGGCAGGGGAACACCCCCGAAATGGGCAGGCTGCAGAAAGCATGGGGCTGAAGCAAATCCTGCTCGGAAGAACAAATGCACGTTCAATAAATTTAAAAGAATAAAATTTAAAAAGCAGGAGGCTTTATATCATCCAGATGGGGTACGGACTGGAAACGTGGCCCCTGGCAAGAAGGTGCAGTTGCAAGGAGCAGGGTGGAGAAGGCTGCGCAGAGCAGGAATCAGCAACAGCCATGGGGAAAGACCATCCTGTGAGGGACTGGAGGGGGCTGGAAGCTGAGGCTGCCAAGGGGAGGGAAGGGTTTCTTCAACACTCCCAGAGCATCCCAAACGGCACCGTTCAAATACTTGCGCCACCCCTCCTCATGCACGGGAAGGAATTAGCGCGTGTAGGAGGCCAATGCCCCGTGACCCACCCCAGAGTCCTGACTAAGAGTGTGTCACATCCCCAATCTCTGCATTTTGATCTCTTTTGAGAAAACTACGATTTTGCAAGCCCAGACACAGTGTCACAGCAAAACCTCTGCAGAGCATGGCATGCCACCTCCGCTGCCGGTGCTCAGCTGCCATACAATACCAGACCTGGCCACACACCCCTGCTAAGACCAAAGCACAGCCTATGGACGTGCTGTCATCCTCTGTCACTAGCAGACCATTTGACAGGCATATTCATGGCCTTTCAAGATGCAATTAGTGTCCTTTAATCACTACAGCAGCTTCAGCTACTTATAATAATACCTTTTCATGGGACATGATCAACAGCCAGCCAGTGGTTGGGCAAGGTGCTACTTTTAACAGCAGTGCTGAACATTTACAAACAAAGCTAGCACAGGCAAAACTAGCCAGCATGGTTAAGCTAAAGCTCCTTGGTAGGCTAAATAAAATTATTTACTCCCCCTAAAATATCTTTAAAAAATATAAAGGCCTTACTTGGCAACTCTAGACAAAAGCAAACGCCCAACACTTTTTAAAGTAAGGCTTTTGACAAATGGTAGAAGGCTACCATACTCAACAAAACTACATGATCCTTCTTAATTATGTTTTTCCTTGCCTGAAGGCTTTGCCACGGTGCTTATGCCAACTCCTATACCTTGGCACAGCCATGTGAAGAAGGTGTACTACCAACATGGGATTGTGGAGGGGAGTCACCCTAGACCACATGAGGAAGGTTCATCTCTGTTGGATCATTACATGCTTACCCAAAGGACTAAGTGACCCTTCCTTGCATATTCTCCCAGACAACATGGTGAACACAGGGCCCTTCCCACCTATCTGTGTCCCAGCAGTGCTGTTGGAGTCTGGTCCCAGTGACATCCCCAGTAAGCCCAGATCCAGTGTCCTGGAGAAGCAAGTGCGAGGAGCAACTGTGGGGAGCACAGAAGTACCTCCTGGTGTATGGTCCAATGGAGCTGTAGGAGCCTGTGACTGACGGCAGCTCCCAGAACATCTCACTTTCGTGATGCTTCCCTGGCACCCCAGACCTCCAGTACGGGTCCCACCAAGCCCAGGAAAGTGGCAGAGGCTGTGCTGCGCTCCCCTACCAACACACAGGGCGAGGAGTGGAGAATCAAGAATCACAACTCTGTGGATGGAGGTGGTGGGAGGCACTGTGCTTCAGAGCAGCGGGCAGCCTCAGGTCATCTGCGTGCTGCAAACAGCAGGGAATCTCTCCTTTGTTTTTCTCCCTTGCACCATCAAAAATCTGCCTGCTGGAATCGAGCCTCAGGACTTTGAATGACACTTTCCAGTGGTGCCAATTCACCTGCGGTGAGAGTGACCCACGTCATTATTATTATTGCTATTATTCTAGTTCCTGCTTGGGGTTAAGCCACCACACAGTCAACTGCCTATTCTGCCATACTGAGAAGATGTACATTCCCTCCTTCCAAAATGTTCAGCCTTTTCCCTGAAGAGCTCGGCAAGAAAGGTGGTCTCATGCATATGTTGTTGTGCATATGCAGAAGAAAAAAAAACTTCAGCTCACCCTGCCTAGGCTGTGATTAGCCTGCAAGATTGAATCCAAGCATGCAAATGGATGAGCTACTAACAAAGGGGGATAGAGAACAGTCAGTAGGACTCTTCAGTGCAACAACCCTTAAATATGAAACCTACCTGTGTCAAACTTTGGTGATTGTGGAGCAGTCACAAATTCGGATACTAATGATTTGTACAGTCAGACTGCAGCAATCTTACTTAAGATTCACATATATATTTGATCATCATTGGATGTTTTTCTTTAGTTTTTACAAGCTAGGAAAAAATGCAGGCATTCTAGCTTCATCTTACAACACACCAGGCATTCATGAAAGAGCTGAGGTAAATCACTCGAAAGTTGATGTATGTTAGCAATGCTCTGCGAAAATCAAGGATCTCTTCATACCTTAAAATCTACACATTACAAAGTGATCCCCAGAGCCTCCATTTAGAGATTTAAATTATACTCTCAACCTTTCAGTGTATAAAATTCAAAATATATGAGTAAATACATATTTTAAAATGTACGTGAGAAATCTCAAGCCAACATGTCAGAGGCTTCTATACAGAAACACAACGCTTAGCATATAATGACATGATACCATATAATATCATACCACCTCTTAGCCTAACAGCAAAAGAGATACAAGAATAAATTGTTGCATGCATTTGTTACTTTTACAAGAATGCCTGTCGCAAGTGCAGTGCCCTTTAGAGGTTTTACAAGGATAAATAGCTGAGTTTCTTAAAACATCACATTAGTGAATATCAGAATATAAGTAGAAAAGGTATAGATTAGCATTTCTTGACCTTTTACTATGACAGGTATTCCCTGATAATCTTGAGTTTACTAAAGCTGGCAGTTATTGAAATAGACCCAGACTAACCCCAAAAGTTGCAGTCCTAAATGCCTCAGCCCTAAAAGACAGGTTAGTCTCCTAAATTGTTTAATTAGATACACTGGATTACTAAAGATTAAAAATTAATACTCCTCTTCCCCAAATGTGGTCTGGACAGTTTGCTGTCTAGAATGATATTCCAAAGGAACAACAGAAGATGAAACAGGTCTTTAAAGGTCTTGCAATCTCAGAACAAAGCACATTATTGATCTATTGCTAAAACCAGCATTTACATTAGTGTTTTTTAAAAAAAAAAAAAAAATATATATATCAATCACTGTAGAGGAGACTTCTCTCCATTTCACACTCCTTAAGAGAACACTAACAAAAATTAATGACAATACAAACCAATTAACATGGATCACAGTTCTTACCCTGGTAATTTTTCACTAGTGTCATCTTATTGTAATCTTCTGATAAAATGAATTCCTGAGGGAGGGGAAAGAAAAAAACAAAAGAAACAGTGCTTAGAGACGTAAAGTGTTTGAGAGTGCTTTGATTTGAATTTGTAACCAAGGTAAGCTCTCCTGTCTTGCAAACAAACCCCTGTCTATAGTTTTGCTAATTTTGAGTACCTCCATCTAAAAACCGAAATTATTTCACTTTTTAAAGCTGCCTAAGAAACAACACCACGAGTGCTTCTGAACAGAATAGTGCACAGAAAAGAGGAACTATTAAAAAAGAAGTCAAAAAAGCTGACAGAAATGGCTGGATATGAGTCGAAGTACCACAAAATGAGACCTGAGATCTGGCACGTAGCAAACACCTATTGCTCAGGACTGCCTGGACAGAAACGGGCGATGTGTGCACACCCAAGCGTGTGTGGATACACACATATCCGTGTGTGTGCATACACTACACCCATGTGTGGTGCGACGCAGCCTGGGGGCTTGACCCTATGGCCAGGAAAGAGCACACCTATGGGGAAATGGCTCTGCAGTCCTGCTGCCTTGGCGCTGCTGTTTAACTACCGATACGGCTTTTGCACACGGAAATGATGAAAACAGCAGCTAAGAGTCTGCATGGCAGCCCTGGCTCCTGGAAAAACCCTGTGTGGTTCAACTGACTGAGCACCTGGATGTCCCTGCTGCTCGTTTTGAAGATAAAACATTGCTCAAAGCAGGGGAAATGGAGCGGCCACAACAAAACTCCCGCAACACCTCTCTGGAGGAAACACCCAGGCAAAGGGTAGGCTCTGCAGCACTGCTGCACAAATTAGCTTTTAAACCGCTGTCAGGTACCTACGTGTGCACAACGCACTCAAAGAAACACAAAGGAAAACCAAGGAGTGTAAAAACACATCATATTAATAATTTAAATAATTTATAGCAGAAACTGCCTGAATCACAGAAACTTCCCTAATCTACCTTGGGGACAGAAGACGTAAAACCTAACTCATTTAATCGGGAAATAGGGTGAAAATAAGAGAAGCATTATAAACAAGAGATAAGCTAAATTTCAAAGCATACAGTTGTGAAATATTCATGTATAAGCACTGCCAAAACCACTGTGCAACAGTAGAGAAGACTGGACTTCAGATGCCTACAGACTATATTTAAGGCAAACCAAATGCTTAGTGCAAAAGAGCATGAGAAGAGATTCTAACCACCAAAAAGCTGGTATTTACCCACAGTTTCCAAACAAGAATGGAAACAAAAAAAACAACCTAGTCACTCTGCGTTTTCTGTAGGATCACTGTAGGTAATCTGCATGGCTTTCCAGCACCAGGATTACCTTAACGCATCATATCTACTGCTTGGCACCAAGGTGGAGAGGCTGCAATATGCATCTGTGGAACATCTACAGATCCCAACTTCCAGGAAAACAACTGTGAGTGAGTTGAGGCAGCTATGTATTTTGCTGTTTCTGGGTTTCTGTTCCTAAGTTAGTTATAAATATATTCTCTTAAATTGCTCTATTTCATCTTCCTTTCCTTGATCTGCTCCGCCTCCCATTGGATTTCCCCTGGCAGCTGAGAACTACAGGGGGGAGGGTTATTTAAACAGCAGTGACAAATCAATTAAGTCAGCTGGATTTTTATACCAGGGTCACCTTAACTCTACAAACCACAGAATGTTAAAAATCTGCTATACCTCCCTAGCTACTTACAGGGGAAGTGGTTTTCATTAACCACTGCCTGAAGAATGCTAAACCACCACATGAAATGCTTTACTACAAAGCCTACTTGAAGCAAGACCCTTTGCTATGAATGCTAAATTTCTGCTGTCATTACCTAAAGAGAAACAGCTTCAATTGCTGCAACACATGGTGGGAGGATACGTCTGCCTTTCTCACCAATTTGGCTGTCCTAGTACTGATCCCAACTTTCACTGAGGTGGCGCACAGATGCTGGTGACTTCAGATGGGATGAAGAGCCTGGTTTGCATTCTCATTTTCCCTTGATAAATTTGATGTGGCCATTCTGTCCCATGTGGGACTGAACAGTCCCACAGTTTCAGTGGAAGACTGAAAAGGCTTTTGAGTCTCTCCATTGTAATACAGTGAATCAATCTCAAGTGCAGTTCATAAGGTTTACGCAAGTATTGATTAGCTCTGTATGCTTTAATACAAACCACAGCTGTGTACTATTAATATACTGCTCCATCCAAAGTGATAAACACAGTACAAAATAAACGCAGTTCCATTAACCTGAATACTGGATATATTTTTTTCTCCCCCCTCCCCGAAGACTTCTTGCTTCTCATTTTCTCCTTTGAAAGCATATGATAATTTGCGACACATTTTCTTGTTTTGCATTTTCTAATCTTTCTCCAGGTCTTTTACTCCCTGCTCCCCTTTACACTATCACATGTTCTTCCATTGCACTCATTCCCATCTCCCTCTCAAGGCCAAATGTATTAGTTGCGTCAATAGACAGGTATTTTAGCACAGGGCACCTTGCTCAAGAAATTCATGCCCTATTGCACGTACATTGTGTCATCTGCACTACAAAAGCACTGACTACATCTCTTTAACATTGTACCAGCAGAAAGTGCTTTTTTTTAATCCTTCCATACATAGGTGTTTTGCTGCTCCCAAAGCTGCTGATGCTCAGTTCTCATTAGGCAGCTTTTTGGCTCTCCTTAATGAGCTAGAAAGGCTGGGGTCACCCACACAGCTCAGTCAGTGCTTGTTAACAGAACGGAGAAAGATTTCCAATTCCTGTGCAAGCCCTTTTGCGCAGGAGAGGCTAGGATATATCAAAGCCCTTGAGATGGCAAAACCAAACCCCTCCTTGCAGGGATTAAAAACATTTTTTTCTGGCAAGATCACTTTCTGCTCTTCAGAGGGTTTTTTTTTTGGAACTACTTTACTACCTTTTTTGCCATACTGAAAATGTTAGTTATCAGTCTTGGCTGTTTCAGGTAATCTTATTATTATAACAATGACTTGGTACCATGAAAGCCTTCATAAAGCATAAATCTTGACTATCTGAAAAGACTCAACTATAATTTCATGAAGCACGTACCTCTTTCATGCTGAAACACATATACCCACCACAAATGTCTCTTGAGCACAAGACCTCTGTAAATCCTCACCCTGGAAATACTATTAGCATCGTGTTTGAAATTACTCTTGTTAAGGCAAACAAAACCCATACTCAGGTGTGTGCCATTTCAGAGTCCTTGGCCATGGGGCTGCCTGACATGGCCCAGAGTCTAAGGAAGACCCACGCCTTTCCAGAGCTGCAGGTGGACACCAACTGATGTATCCCAAAACAGCACTACAGACCTTTGCTTAGGCAACTGAATCAATTTCTGAGAGGAGTTAAAAATCTTTATTTATTAGTTCGGTGTTATCCATTCACAATCTAGTTCCCACCCCAGGGAATTTGCAGTTTGTACTCTGATAGGTGACATCGTTTTGACACCACATTGCAGGTCTCCTTAAAGGCTTGACTTTGCGCTGTTAACACAAGTGACCAACAGCACTCTCGCCATGCCTTCCAGAGAACAACAAACCTGCTTCAGAAATGGAAGAGAAGACTCTTAAATCTACTGTCAGACCCTACATCTATGTCCGTTGCAAAGACAGCTCTATAAAACAACTACAGTACTTCCACTTTATAAAGTATAAAAACTAGGAGAGGACAGAAACTATCACATAGTTTTCTTGAACTTAAAAATAGCAAGTTTCCCACAGTGGCAGAGGGAAAGGGTGCGCAACAGCAGGTAGAGTCTGACTCAGTTTCAGGTATTCAAAGTCCTATTTATGGTCAAACATGTAGACACCTGCAAGATCAAATGATGTGGAAGATGAATCTATTTTAACAAGTGCCATTCCCAAGGAAGAATAGTGAAGGGGTTATTCTGGCACCCTGTTTTCTTTGTGGCCCTGCTTGAAGTGTGCAACAGCTTCATCTAGACACAAGCATGGTCAGCAAAAAAAGATTAATTTAATTTAACTTCATCTACCTAAAAACTAAATCCTGTATTTAAATCGCCCCACAAATGGGCAGAGAGATTTTTGCCATTCTAAGACAGTTTCTAGGGTAAGTAACATGGGTATCTCCAAAGGTGATTCACCTCTCCTCTACCAGCTGCAGAACCTAATGATTAACTTTATTTAGGAAGTTAAGTTTCAGATGGATGAAATTAGGTGACGAGTCTCATCTTGGCTGTGGAAGTCTTGTCTATTGCAAATAATAGACCTTTCCTCTGTTTCTTCTTGTTGTGGTATCTTGAGAGACTTGCACCCATTAAAGCATGCTTTTTTCCACTTCAGAGCAAGGAATTTATGACCATGATAAAATCTTTTGGCTTCCAAAAGGGACCTCAGGCAGTCCCTAAGGCATAATGTAACAGAAATGCCATTACTTCGCAAAAAAGGTTTGCAAAGTGTAAAAAAAAAAAAATTAAAAATCATAGAAACTTTTTTTTTAGTATCACCACTCTTCAAGCAAGATGCTAGACAATCTTTTGCTCAAGAGAATGGTCTACTGTGCTGCACAAATGTTTGTGCAGCCTTCGTGTTGAGTAGTTACAAAAGGTCAAAAACTATTTCTTCATCTTTGTAGAAGTAAAAATTGCCACCCTGTTTCACAAGGAAAGGTGGCTATACAAACTCACCTCCTGGTGGCTTTGCTGGAACATCTTTGACAACAGGATTGCTGCCCATCCTTCTCAAAATGTACCATACACATTTCTGAGGTGCCAGGCTTATAACCAAAATCCATACAGTTTACAAAAATTTCACGCAAAATAAAAAAAGCAGTTCCATTTTCTTATCTCCATTTACATCTGAAAGTAAAAGCAGTACTTCCTTGCACTGCAAAAAGATTGTTTTGAGATTATGTGACGCTCTTAATGAGTATTATATTAGCTTACAGCCCTTGCCAGCAGTCTTTTCCTTCTACAAAAAGTGAAGACAGAGAATGATTTTTAGCATTTTATTTTCGTCCTGCACCTAGCGTACACAAGAGTGCTGGGCATTACCAGAAGTGCTACCATGGAACAGCTGACTAATTCCCAAATATTTCAAGCTGCTCAAGTAAATTGCTTGGACGAGGCAATTTTGAGGTCCCTTTGAGGACCACACAGTTAAAAGTAAGGGCACTAAGGTCACCTTGTTGCAGTAAGTTCTCTTATTTTGTGGTCAGTGTGTCCTGCTTGTATACTTCTGTGCTAAACAGATCATCATAGCTGTACCCAGGAAGGAAAACATCCTTTTCTCCAGAGGATGGTTGTAACCTACTTCCAAGTACCTGGGGATTTTCTCTAACACCCCAATATTGCTGGGACTTAAATATGGGGCTACCCTTGCTCTTCTTCCATTCCCACCTCCTGTAGCACATTACAGTTGTGGATTCTCTTATAAGCCTTGGGTTTGCTACAGAGGGAAACATTTCATCGCTTGTGGGAGTTTGTGGAGAGCATATTCTGCACAATCCTGTACCACACAGCTGCCTGCAGCAACAGGCGACTAAATTAACAAACACAGAACAGGCCTTCCCCCCTCCTATGTACTTGTATCCGGAAGACTGGGAAAACAAGAGTCCAGCTTAGCAACAAATAGAATCTGCCTCAGACATGGCACTATATAGGTATAAGTACCCAAAGTCACATGTTGGTTTATCACCTGGGTCACTCATTTAGCTTTAGAATGGAAAACATTTGACTCCATTCAGACTCAAGCACCCTCTGACTCTTCTAGGCAAAATGGCCCGAAGACAAAGGACACATCTCTTCCATCATGCCAGAGTATTTAAATACCTTATTTACAGCCTTCACATTCCTCCACATTCTTCAAAGGCCTGGTGAAAATAAAAGTACCTAGTAGGACTGGCAAATCACAGCTATTTCAGAGAGTGGGAAGGAGGGAATTTCAAAGGTGCACGGAACTCTCTAGCAGCTGTCCCATCTCCTAGATACAAAATGAGAAATCTCCTAAAGGCACAGAAAAATCTCTACTACTGGCCATTAATAGCTTTATGGGGCAAAACCTTCACGTCTTTGATACAGCTCACAGGCAACAGATAAAAGGGTCCCACAGCCTTTCCCAAATACCATCTTGGCTTTAGTGCAGACAGCTGCCCTTATGTCAACCTGCAAACACTCATTCAGTTATAAAGCCCGTAAGGCAGAGACAATAGTAGTAAAAATCTGAAACGATGGTAAAATGACCTTAAACTGGAAGAAGAGTCTATTGATGAGGCATAGGTGAAAGATATCTCTCTGACCCATGACCCTTCCACAAAGTGATATAGCTCTTTACTTATTAGCCCACAAGAAAAATCCAATGAAAAAGGTCAACTGCTACCCTCTGTTCTAGATCTCTATTAGATGTTAATGAACCAAATCTTTCAGCAACAGCACTGCCAGTTAGGAGCTACTCCTCTGAAGGAAGTGAGAGGAAAACAAAATCTGAACCCTGAAGTTTAGAAAAGCAGCAGAAATCCACTTTCTACCTCTCAGAAAATGATTTTTCCCCTCTTAATAGTTGCTTTCAGAAAACTTTGGTATGGTATGATTAACAAGGCACTCAAATTTAATAAAACAACAGCTGTTTTTCTGTGTTGTTTTTTTTTTTTAAAGATATGCAGATTGAGACAGTTTGTTTAATTGCCTAATAAATCTTGTAAACCCCACTCAATCTCTTTGTGGCAGTTGGAATGAAATTTGTAATAATCTGCCATTTTCTACACTACAGCTTCAGTTCCACTAGCAGTAAAAAGTCTCTTTCCCAAACACTAACAAAAATATCCTCACCACAACATCACACATATACTTCTCAACAGGGAAGCATTTCAACTAGAAATCTTTGGATGTACTTACTGAGATTGTACCATTGTCTAGACCTATGGACAGCCTTCTGGTTTCCGGGTTAAAAGACATGCATGAACATGGAGCTGAAAAAAATGAACATGTTGATGAAGTTAACAAAACTGCGATTCTCATTTTCTTGAAGTTCTGGAAAGCCTAAAACTAGCTAACACACTTTATGATGCTGTTCAGCATTTTGCCCCTTCCAATAGACAAGCATTAAAAAAACCCCAACCAACCAAACAAAAAAACCAAACAGTGTTCTTGCAATTCATTCAACCCTATCCTATTAGGACATGGAACAATGGCTATTTCTTGCTCCAGCTCCTTCATTTTTTCTTACTAGTTATCTGAAAACAGGCATGTCATACAAGAGCAGCGGTGGTGTTTTGATATGAGGCACCTGACATTTCAGTATAAATCTGAGAGATTACTTAGCTGAATAATTTAGTTTTTTACATTTGCCTGAACTTTACTGACAATAAAAGAAAACACTGTATTATGTCAGAGGCTTGCATCCTATATCTGCAGTAAGAAAGTTAACCTGTAGGAATCAACATATCAGCCAATATTAAGGACTGTGAGTCCAACTGTCCCACAGACAACACTACAACTGTATCACACACTATGGCCAAAATAAAAGACTATTGAAAACTAGTCATTGTTTTATTGTATCACTATTACTTCTAATAAACATCAGGATATACTTTTAAATTGCACACAAGTCAGTCATACTATTTTCCCTCAAGGATCTGGCAAGGTTCGCATCAAGGGTAAAACCAGATTTTTCTTGCAGTAATTCAAAAGCTATGCTTGGTTTAATTGAGAAACTGAAGTTGCATTCAGAAAGCAGGGATTATTTTTACTGCTGAACACAGCAGCATGCAGCTGGGAGTCCTGCTGTCCCAACAGAAACCTTCAGGAATCATTTTTCAGCAGCAATTGCCAACTGCAGCTAGGGGCAGGCATTCTTATTTCTTGGATAGCAACAAGAGTGTTTTTTAAACCATATTCTTGTGATAAATACAGAGTGCAGTCAGATGTGCTGTTAGCTCTGCCCCCCCCCCTCCTTGGTTTCTAGTCTCCATTGTGAATACTTGAGGTGGTTTTATTACTAACAAGCTTGGAGTCTTCTCTTGCAGTACTGTCTATCTGGTTTATTCTCAATTTGTGTGATGTCTCACCTAGGATTAAACAGTCCATAGCTCAGCAAGTCTTCCTCGATAGTTTAGCTGGCAGCAAAGCTATATGAAGAACAGGAAAGTCTATTTTGACTGTTGATCAAAACTTGTTCTACCTTCAGTATTGACTCCCCCTTGAAACATTTCCTAAAGGATGACCAACTGCAAGCAAAAAACCTAGCAGATCCACATCCAGGCAGGCATCTCGATTTATTTCTTTCCTGGAAGGGCTGACTGAATTAAATCAAAGAAAAGGCTTCAGTTCAAGGAAACTGCCAGAAGGGAAACACTTAAATTAGGGCTACCAACAGTGACAAAACTTCTCCTTCCTATACCTCTCCCTCAGAAAAGGCAAATTTGAATCATGCCTGCGGATGGTGGTGCATTACTATTACATTGAGGCTTCTAGGGTTGGAGCAGGATGAGACAGTTGCGAGAAAAACAAACGGGGGAGGGGGGGAAGGCAATTCTAGGCAGAATAAACATCAAATCCTTTTAAAGGCACTTAATGCCAGAACGGGCATATTCTACTTATCAGCTTTCAAACGCTAGACACTGCATACAACGAAAGAGTTACTAGTAACTCTGAAGGCAATAAACAGCTTAGAGAGAAAAAGTCCCAGGAAAATTAGCTATTTGAAGTATGCTTTTCCCAAACAGCCTGAAACACTTCAGACTGAAAAGGTACAAGAATCTACTTGACACAGGCTGATTACAAAAAAGTCATTTCTAAATTCCAGACCCGCGTGTACACAGCTATAGCAGTGTAAAGATACTTATTTTGCTATAATTGTTTTCCTAAGGGAATTCTTCAATAACATGTGCTCTTGGAAAAATCATTATGTCAGAACAAAAATTATGTCCACGCTAGATACACTAATGTAGTTAAAGCTATGCCAGTTGCAAAAAGACTGCAGCAACTTATGCTTTAGTGAAAATAAGATGCCATTCAGATACTTAAACACAGACTCATTAAGAAGAGGGGGAAGGGGGAAAAATAAAAAACCAAACCAAACCAAAAACCCCCAAACCCTAAGCTTCTGATATGTTTAAGATCCTTTTAAAATAACAGCCAGGAAAAATAACAACACTCTGAAGTATTTAGCTATGATTTGGATTTCAGACTGGAAAAAGATTGATCTGAACTACTACAGAGGACAGGCAGGATATTACTGATGCAGAAGTCTGACTGTAGTCTTTATCTTAAATACAGGGCAAATGCACACCGATTTTAGCTTTTGGAAAATGAGTTATGGAGGAAAAGCCCAATTACATATTTCATGCTTTTGACAGTGTGTCACCTCTATTAGAGGCTGACAGAAGTAGAAGAGAAATACAAACTTTGTACCTGCAGTTTCAAGAATCTCCCTTTGAAGTGCCTGAAAGTGGCATAGTTGAAGACCGAAGGAGCATGTTTTGCTTTGCAGTTTTCCTACCCTCCTCTTCAAAGCATAGAGTTAGCTAGAAAAACCATCATAAGACAGACAGCGTATTATCTGCCTCAAAGACTGGATATGGATACTCCACTGTTCACTACAATAAATCCTTTACTCCGTTCCACATCTGAGAGAGGTTTTTGGTTGGTTGGGTTTGGGTGTTTTTGGGTGGCTTTTTGGGGGGGGCAAAGCTTACTTCTCTTGACTACAATTCCTTTCCCTTTCATAAATTTGTGTCTACTGAGTTGTTTTCTCCTGTACAGACACTGCCCAAAAGTCACACATCTAACCATAGTTACACATCTATAATCTGTGTTGCATGTGTGTAACCAAGAGTACACATCCAACCATGAGGAGGGTTAACCTGCTCATCAGAGGTTTGTTGTTAATACAATTGTTGAGACAATGCTAGCTGGCATGAAGGAGACGTGCAAGCTAGGTTTCCAGCTTACCGAGTTTGCCTTACTGATGATATAACAGTGCGTACAACACTCACAGCTCTTTCTTTCTCATAGGCTAGAGGAGATGATCAAAAATGTGGCCACCATGTTGTCCAGAATTTTCTAGCCACAGAAACACCCATAGGCAGTGCATAAAACTTCATAATTGGGGAAATCCCACCTCTTAGCAGCAAGTGTCCCTACCCAGAAGGGATCTACAATCTTGATCTTTTTTCCAGGTATTTAATGGGTTTCATATTCAGAATGCACTGACGGCCCTATTTGGGTGCAGAGCTTGACCAAAGCACATGGCTGACTCGGCCCAACTCCTCATCCTCCTCATCTCCTGGAGTACACAGGGCGTAAATTCAGTTATTAAGGCTACCTGATATTAAATCATAAAAGGGTGCGGGTCATGCACCACCATAACCAAAGTCACAAGTCATGCTTGCTAAGCAGCACAAAGGCACCATCGTGCCTACTACATTTTTACACAGAGAACCTCTGGGCAGTTGTTCTCTAGAAAACAAAAACCAATGTGAACCTAAAGCAGAGGACCATCAAAAAGGTGTTCCACACAGCAACAGACTGAATGATCATTTCAAGTCAAGTACAGACTTGTGCAGAAGCTGACTCAGAGCCCTTCCTACAATTTCCTAGCTTAAAGCCATGGCTGATAACAATGTAATTGGCATTGCTCCAGTTGCTAATTATACCTGATCATTCTTGAAATTGGTGACTAACACAGCATAATTTTAATATCTCATGGCTCAAAAGCTTACCAGCCTTCTAAGTGAAGGAGCAGTGTCAGGTGTTCAAATTTATGAAGGAGCTTTAAAATAGTCCCCTTTCAGTGGATCTGGATCTACTCCACCACTTCCAGTGAAGCTGTTATTACTGGCAATAATGCAGCCTTGCTAAGACCAGAGGAGGTCCTAACAAGATTTTAAAATGCAAATGTATGCAAAAACTTCACATGGAAAAAGAGAAGTATCATTGCCAAACTGCTAAAATAGCCATTTCATAACAGTTTGACTGGGGAAAGCAAAACTCTCAGGACAGGTCAAGGGAACTCAGGCCACTGCCAGTGATTGTGACAGAGCTCCACAGATTGCCACATCATTAGCTGATTTGCAATACCTTTTTGTGCAAAACATTGAGCAGAAAAGTACCTGTGAGGCTTGACATACTCTTATGAGCTAGTCCATCACCAAAGAAAGAAGAGATCCTCCTCTCTACCAAATGAACGCTTTCTTAGACCAGGCAGTCAAACACTATGGCCACTCTAGGGGCCCAAGCTGATGTTTTTGTGGTATTAAAATTTATTATCTATTAAATATTTTACGTATCATGGAGACAGATGTCTCTTCCAAATCTAGACATCTTAGCTTAAAATAACTCTTTCTCCAGTAAGAACACCTCAATGGGACTTGATACATGCTCCCAAATCTGTGAATTTAAGGTCAGCTTTGTAAGCTTTCCAAAGACAGGACAGTTGAATCTGAAGCTGATTGAGGAGATTAGCACACCCCTGCTGCTGGTGACCTGCAGAGTTATACTCCTGCACTGAACCACAGGGGTTATGACAAAGAGCTAGGGCTGTGATTTCTTCAACTGTCTCTTGGAAAAAACAGACACTGATTTGCAGTTTCTTTTAAAGCATGGACACTCTCTTTGGGAGAGGAGACATACATACTGGAGGGATCCATCAGAGAGACTTGGTTTTCCACATTTAATTGTAAGGGTGAAATGATTCTACTTCTTCGATGGAAGAGCTGCCTTCCCTGCCTAGTATCCTCTATATCATATTAGCTGCTGCAGGATATTAAGTTCTTATCAAATAAAACCACTTACCATTGCACTCTAATGGACTAACCACATGCAGTAGGAAGGGCAGAGTGATTTATACTAGAGACTTACAAAGCTTTATGGACTCCATTAGTGACAGAATGTAAAACTACGTTTTGAGCTCCCACATTTTTTAATCTATGTTCACATTAAATGATCATCCCTTGCCAGCATATCTGTATCCTTTTGCTGCTGTATTCCCTGATGCCTCTCAGTAGCATTAGCATGCAACTTGGCAAAGCTTCACAGAAACCAAGAGGATTGTTCAAGAATGATATTTAACACAGAATGGTAAGCTTGCAAATGGTCCTTAACATGAGGCTTCATCAAAACCAGAAAAGCTATTTTGCAAATACACAGTAGATAGTGAACATCTCCTTATACTTACATGGCATTGCATGGTATATGCTGGGCCAGTACTGCCCACTGTCTCTCTTCAGCCAGACACGAACTGTTCTGCAAAAGAAAAAAAACACAACACACATCAGGACGAATGAAAAAGTAACCATGAACAAAACCAAAGTGGTGACGATGGATGCACAAGACCTGCTTCAAAATTAAATTATTTTGCAGAGAGGGAAAATAAACATGCAAACTCTTACAGCTGCCTTTTAATGTCAGATTAACCTCTGTAAGATGATGAGGGCAGCCCATTCCTTGGTTCCATGTAGTACTCAACATCTGGGCTGAACACATCACAACAGTATTTGGAAACTGCTATGGCTTTTTGTTCTTTGCCTTTCCCAAGGACTGGAACACCACTGCTCATTCAATGCCTCAGATGAGGATTTGGGACACTCTAGGTAGCCCGGGAAATGACACCCGTACCGGCCCAGCCAGTCCCCTGCAGAAGCCTTCCCTCTGCTCTCAGGGTAGGCCTTGGTCCATCTGCTGCCTGTTGTTTTGTTGTTGTGCTTCAGGGAAACCTCTAAGCAAAGGAGATTTTCAGCTTCTGTTTACTAAGATTATGTCCATTTGTGCCAACAATGAGCTCTTCAGCTTCAGGACCTTCCCCTCTCCTCAGTGTACTCAGAGTGCTATCAGAAGCCCACTGAGCATCATGCTGACAAAGCCAAACTCTTATCCTTCTCTGAAGATGACCAAGGCGACAGGCAGCCTGGCAGTCCTTGTCTGCCCCATCAGTTTGGAGCTGCCGTGCTCGAATAGAGGCACCTAGAACCATACAGTCCTCCAGGCGTCTCCACAAACACATCAGTGGTTTCCTCTCTGCTATAAGATCTTCCAAATGTATCTCAGGGTTACTTTTGCTTTCTCATAATCATATTATACTGTCAGCTCCCTGTCACTCAATCCATGACCTTCACTCGAGACGCCTGTTGCTTGTTTGCTGAGCAGAGGAGCTGGACTGATGTACCATCTGGGTCACTAAATATGTATTATTTCAGTCCTCTCTGTCATCCACTTGTTTTGGTCCAATCTCTGAAGCCTCTTTCTAATTGAAGATCTCTCTTAACTTTAGTTCATCAGCTGATTTCATCAAAACATGCCTAGTAACAGTGTCACCAGTTAAAGCAGCAGGCAACCAGTAATCTCCTGCTTGTTCCTGCATAGCCCAGTGTCATCTCAATTACAGTCAACTGTTACCTGCCTTGCTGTTTCTCAAATCCTTATCATCTCCAATTTTAACTAGTAAACTCTCCGTATAATACTGTATTCCATGTGTTACTAATTTACACCAAATGTATTACCCTCCTTTAGAAAATTTAGTTATCTGGGACAGCTTTGTATTAGTGTAGCATAACAGATTTTAACCCATCACCGACTTCTGTTTAGTCTTTTCCACGAAAGTTAGTGTGCGGTAGTAAATACAACAGGGATCTAAAAAACTATTGTAAAACACAAGTCTTATTTTCCTGTAACAAATCTATAACTTGCACTTGATAGTATTAAGAGAAAAAAAAAAAAAAACAAAAACAAAAACCCAAGCAAGAATGGCTCTTTCCAGTTCACGAAACATATGGAAATATAGCTTATGCAGAAGACTACAGGGTCACTCCCACTGTTAGCCAGTAAAAGTTTGGACCAGTATGTTAATATAATATAATATAATATAAATGGATCTAAGACATATACACAAAACCAGTCTGTACAGAGATGCCATGCAATATAAAGCAATTCAAGAACGAGTTATCTGTCCTGCAAACTTCAAGCTAACGGCTGCACCACTATGTGTTCCTGGATTGCATATATCCAAAATCAGGTTTCTGCTCATTCTGCCCTGCATCCAAACTCATTTTTCAGCAAATATTTCAAAGACCTGCATATTGGGCACTACACAAGCTTCATCGTTTTAGAAATATCTCATGTGTACACTTTGACACAGCATGTGGCTCTAAAAACTAATATTTCACTGGGTCAGCAAGTCCTACAGTTAGAAAGCTCTCAAAAATTACTCAAAACATACAAAATTCAGTATAATTACCTCCTAAGTCTTTAGGCCTTTTTGCAATGAACACATCAGCAGCTCTTCAGTAGATTTAAAGCGAAACCACCAACACTTTTTCAGGGACAATTCATCAGCTGATAACAACGCTACTGTATTGTCAATAGGGATAGGGCCAAATCCTTCCATCATTTCTCTCTGTAGCTAACCGTAGCCGGTGTCAGAGCGGCACTCTGCATCCAGAACTCAGCACACAGGTCTGGGAAGACGTCCACAGCCACAAGGCTGTACACCAGGTTCGGGACAGGGTCCAAAACCTTTGGGTCCATCCAAAGGGGTCCACCTTTGCTAAGAAGGTGGTCACTGTAATTCTGGAAGCTGATCAGACGCTGTTTCCCAAACAGGCAAGCTCTTATTAATGTGTTTATCCTCATCAAGTGAAGTTATCGTGGGAATGGATGAACGTGCACAAAAAAATCATGAGATGAATCACAGGGAGATGAACTAACTCAATATGAAACAGCCCTGAGGAAGTGCACCAATATCCTGTGAGACACTTGCCTGTCTTGACCATCCCAATCTCTATATTCAGTGCTACAAGTTTCAAAACTCCCAGGCTTCGACAAAGTTGACTCTCCTCTCCGCATTAAGGCTCTGGCAAATAATAAATCCAGTACAACATCTTACAGATAATTCTGTTTGTTAAAAAAAAAAAAGGACTATGTACAGGAAAAGATCTTTCAAAAGCTGGAGGAAATAAAAATGGCAATAATTTGGATTCTTCAGATTGTTTTGGTTGTTGCTTTTTAAACTGTACCCACTGCAGACTTACTAATTAATTTGACAATTATGTCAATGTTAAGACTCTTAGGTGAATGATATTAAAACAAAAAATATTTTCTGCTTAACTTTAAAAAAAAACCACACCAGCCTGGTGGAGGCTTCTAGTTAAGAGCGAAACCGGTTTTACTAGTGTAGGCCTCTTCTGTAGGCTCACAGTAACGCTCATTTCTTTACGTAGTCAAATATATTTCCATTCAATGACTAATTCATGCAAAATGAGAAACAAAGCATTCTAAGAATAAAAAGACTATGAAAAGATGTTACCTAACTTTGAGGTGTGTGAAAGGGAACATAACCAGCGAGTCAGTTCATGTAACTCATTATAGAAATACTTATCTCCCCAGTAAATCATTTTAAATAAAGGAAAACAAAAGATCTCATAAACAATTTATTTTAAAATTAAGGATGATTATTATGCATATCTTCAAAACAAGCATTCAAAAGTTTTGTTAAGCATTATAATGGAATTCCAATATCTACATTTAAGATGATGTAAAAGTGTAAAAATTCTTACTTATGTCAGAAAATGATGACTGATGATTTTCTTCTCTTAAGATCACTGGATTAGATACGGCATTTTATTGAAAGAAGAAAAACCTCTATTCATTAAACTGTTCTGGGTAACCTTTTCTCAAAGTAGATTTGGCCTAAAGAACAAACTGCACCAACAACTGAACTTGTGAGAAGCCAAATGCTCTTGGAAGACAGTGCCTTTGTTTCAGCTGCAGTTCTGCACATTTTTGTATACTTCTTAACACAATACTACCCACTAGACATGAAACCCAGAGCTTTTGAAACTTCTAAAGAATGCAAAGAAAGAAAAACAAGCATGAATGAAAATAAGCTTTTTTTTTATGGATATATAGCATGAAAAGTCCTTGCGGGTTGCATGGTCACTGGACCTAAACACAGCACCTACCCAGGTCAGGATCCATTCTTCAACTGCTCTAGAGTGATTCAGTCGGCATCACCCTGGAAATGAGTTGTCCCTTCATTTTGTTGCCAGTGAATTGGCTTGGAAAGATTTTTAGAATCTGTCAAATCCATGGATGCTCTTCTAGTCTTTTCATAATAGAGATGATTTATTTTTAAATGAGACAGGCTATACAGAAATAATTCGGCCATGCAAAGGACAGGCTATGTCTTCATACATTAAGGGGATGTGGAAAATACGTATTTTTAAAGCAAAATGGCTTCTCTCTGTTATGCTCAAGAGTATGTATCTCAAGTCCAGGTTGCTGTGGTTCTACCAGCATGTCTCAAATGTCCTGCTACGCTGTGGACCTGCGCAGGAGATAGGCACCTCCGTGAGTAGTAGGTGCTCAGATGAAGCCTATCTCAATAGCAGCACATCCACCTCAGCGTGGCAGCTCTGTGTCTCACCATCTACAGAAACTTATTCAAGCAGTGGTATCTTCTTTCTGATAAAGACATCTTGCTCATACAAATCCTAGTTTGTGCATTTAGGTTGCAGTGTGCTCCATGAATGCCTGCACAATGCTGCCGGGCAGGATGCAAGATTCTCCACTCAATGCCTAGTCTGGCCTGAGCTTCTTGTCACCTCACTGCTGGAAAACTCAGTGTCGCTTGGAGCTGCGAAGTTGAGTCTCTGTGAGTGATTCATAGGCAGGGCTCTTGTCTTTTCTCTTTGGTGCCTTGTGTGAAATCAAGGCAAAAGACAAATACTGGTGTTATAGACAGTACAGACATATTAGACATGTCTGAGCATTGTCCCAAGATGTTTGCATGTTGCAACACTGTGAACTCTGTTGTAGGGAGGTCCAATACCATTACCTAGAGAAACAAGCTATTCCTATTCCACTCCACTTCTCCAGAATGCCCGTAAACCACCAGTTCTAGTTGTGAGTGATGAAATCAGATATATCAGTTTCCCATAACAGATCCCTCCACTCCTGTTTGTAAATGCTTTCCCTCCTCACTCCTGCCTTTTTAAACATTTCTCTTCACTGAGAGGCACTTGTGTAATGCACTATCGCCTTCATGCCCCAGGCGTATGTCTGCTGCACAGCACAGCAGAGGTAACCCTCAACACATACAATTTACTACAATATTTTGTAGGAATTCTTGGGCTTAAGGAAATTGTTTTAAATGGCATTTTAACACATTCCTTGTTATTCTTTATACCTTGGACAACATGTTGTGGGTATTTTTGATCTCCTGTCTTGCCGAGGGACCAGGAGGG